AATTCATTTAATGTTCACAACAAAACTACCCAAATCAATTCAATTGGGTGGCAGATCAATGAAAATATATCAGGAAATTAAACATTACAGGCCATACCTGTTTCCGAGTGTACCAGTTTACTTTTTCTGTTCAAAGTGTGGATCATCAGTTTATGCTACACCAAATGAGATTGGAAGCAAGTTAACAGTTAATACAGCTTTTTCAGATTAAATAGCATGTAATATAAAATTAACACCATAACCGAATGAATAATTGTGGAGTGGTCCCAAATTATACACAGTTACAATATTACCATCAAAAACAAAGTATCTCCTGCCAGCTAATCACCATATCAATGGCACATGCCACAACAGAAAAGCACTAGTTTATTCCACTGATCATGGTAGATAAACCCCAAATAACAGAGAAATTAACAAATGCTTGACATTTGCTCAACATCCATTATTCTGACACTACTTCTGAATTTCAAAGCCTGAGAGCATGCTTAATCAACATTCATATTCCCCAGTGTGCCACAGGCACCATATTGTGCCCCGCCTAAGCACTGATGAAAACTGCACATTAGCTATTTCCAAAATGTTCTGGGACCATGCAGTGGAGCACGGCTATATCTTGCTCCTGCTCTCACACTTTCCTTTTAAACACTTCCAAGACAAAAGCATCTGCCAGTTTTTACTCGGGGGATGTATGCAAAATGAACTGAATGCAGTTTTTAAAGAGAACGTAATCATTACATCCAAATTCATTCATAGGGCAAGGAAAGGCCAAAGAGGCCTCTCTGGGGACAAAAACCTGAGGGACTTTCTCCCCAGTGAACTGGGAGCCATGCACAATCTTAGGAGCAGACAATTTCCAATTCTAATGTCCAATACTATGAGACTTGTGTCACATCCTACTGGCCTAGATACACCCATTCTGTTTCCATTGTAGCAAGCACAGACACTAGACAGGACACTACTGCTAAGCGGGAGGTGCAATATTTGCATGTTATTCAATTGTGAAAGGGTAAAAGTGACAGCACTGTGTCAAATTCTTTTCCCTTTAGAACTCAAACTCTGTAGGAGAGGCATAGCTGACAGATGACTCCCCAACATCTGTGTTACGTGCACGTCACAGATGAGAAACCTCACATCCCTGTCATATTCACAAATAAACAGATGACTGGCGTTTTGCAAGAACTCAGTTCTATATCTATCTACTGGTCTGGACCAAGTGCATTTTTTTTTCTGCCGTTTCCTCGCTTTAATTAATTGATCTGCATTTTGGCACAATTCATTGAAAATATGAAAAGCACAAATGTTTCAGCCACAGGAATTGAAGCTGCATTTATTCTGAGCCAAGACAACTTTGAATAAGCAATCTATTTTCATATATGCTTGAGAAAATATTCTTATGTTATCATAACCAGTTTAAATGTTTTTTTCTCCATTTTTGCTAACATCAAAGGAAAGAAATATCTAGTACACATCTTCATCATTTGACTTTTATTTTTGCTAAGAAGAAAATAACACACCAGAGTATATATAAAAATTCTCCACATGTAGTTCCACACATAAAAGCCTTTTTGGTTCTTGTGTTAGGAATGAGAAAAATGTGATGAATATTTCTGCCTGCTGCACAAGACCCACCATGTGGCTAGTTTGATGTATATTAAAGCAGATTACTCTCTTTACTGTGCACCTTGGTGGTTCACCAGCATAGCATGCTGTTCAGGCCTGTGTCTGGTATATGCGTGATTAGAGGTAAAACACCTATCAATTCCTAAACTGAAAATGACATATGTATGTGGGTGCCATAATTATATTATACCTAATAATTGTACAAAATAAAAACTAGCCTGAATCCAATGTGACACTGATCCGCTATAGTATTTATATGGGGTCATGTACCCTAATACTGATGTAAAATTATTTACACCCCTTTATTCAGCTGTTCCTTTCTTCGTGGCTCTTGCAAGATAGCTACTAAAACACTTGAGGAAACAGTGGTTAGTGTTTTGAAACAGAATTTTCTTTCATTAAATCTACTCAAGCAGATATTAAAGATGCATTTAATATAGTAGGAAATGGTCGGTGGGCACCACCAGCTGTGACAGACCGGTTACTGATGAGCTACTGTCGGCCAGCCCTCTCAGCAGGATTCTGTGTCTAAGGCTGCTGAAGGACAGCGATAGCTTCCCTTGTGTGTAAGCTCTATTCATCTCCAAAGTATTTACTAAATCACGGGCTCCTGTGCAGAAACTCGGTGTTTCAGCGCATGCTAACAAATGATGGATGGCCTAGTCAATACGTTATGTCTTGAAAGCGTGATTTCCTGCCATTCCAATCTCTAAACCTCTAGAGTCCTCTGAGCTGATCGGACATCCAGAATATATTTTGCAGGCTGTGAAAACAGTGAAGCAGCTCCGTCTGTCAGTCCTAAAATGGGATTTTGTTTAAATCTCGTTTTCAGAAGTTAACAGCAATAGAAAAGGAGAATATACTGACTGAATAACTAAACGTTAGTGCTCGGCAAGCTCATAATTTCAGCATTCACTAGAATGTTGATGTGATCATATAATTTCAAATTGAAGGCTACTTTGTTCAGCAACAATATAAAAAAAACATTCCTCTGATTAAGGTATATTTCTAGGGTAAAAATATAATGACTGCTGGTAAGCAACACAAAATGGTACAGTACATATTATTTATCTCTTATAATTCATGATTATGTCAACCATGTTTTTGTTGGTAGTTTGTTCACTCCTAGGATGATTCACCCAGAGGCGATTTGAAAACAGAAATGTATATGTTTAAAGTGAAGAAATATTTCAGAAATCAGGCTCGAGATCTTGAGATGATATGAACAATATTAATAACACAGTATTTTGTATTTTACACAAATATAACATTCCTGGAATGCACCCCTACTCTCCTTTTAATGATCATAATACATAAAACATTACTTGTATTCAGATATGCTCTTAATTTTATCTTTTATTATGTAGGAGGCTGACAATTTAATCCATACATTTGTACCCATTTCTGCAACTGGGTATTGGAAGAATTAAGTGAAGCACCCTGATCAACAGTCACTAGGATTTGAACCACATCCTTCCAGTTACAGGTCCTGCACAGTATCCACTGCACTGCTCAGTTGCCCCTTATCACTACCTTCCAGAAAAAAGGAATGACTTTTTCTTAAATCGTGAGGACAGTCTTGAAGCCACTGCAAGGCACAGGTATGTATAGCAATTCCTATGAGTCTTTTTATAAAGCTCTCCTACTATTTTCATAAATTTAATCTTTTCTTGGAAAGCATCCTCTTTAAATTACATTCACTCATCAATCAGGATTTTAGGCTACACAAGCAAAGACAAACAGCAAATAAATTCAAAGTAAGAAAAGCTATATTATCTGGTGCACAGTCTCCTTGAAATTCTTACAGTAATGTACAGTACCTAGAGTATTTTCCCTGAAGGCTTACCTTATTCTAAGCAAGATTATATATAGCACAATGGAGCTAGAGAACACTCAGTTCTGCTGTTTCTCAGTAACCTTTAAGGAATCAGAACTGTCATGTTCAATAAAAGGATGACATGTTGGTGGGGCGGGATATTATTGTTTTTTCTTTGCTATTATTGCATTTTTATTCTATTTGAGAAGGAAAGAATTGTATTGCCTCCTTTTCTTGTTTTTTATTTTTTTTAGCTTAAGACTAACTTGTCTGGAGAATTTGTTGTGGAATCAACAACTCTTTACCATTGTTTTGCAAACAGATTGTGAACTACTGTGAAAGAAGAACTAAGCATTCAAGTGTTTTCAAATGTGAAAAAAGGAGATGTTTGCATATGCGTGTTTCTGAAGCGCAGGGGAGATGGTAAAGCTACAGTAAGCAGGTGTTTAAAAGTGCTCAGAAAGCTTTCCTTTCTAAGCGTTAGCGTTCCTATTTAGAAATAGGGAAATTCCTAACCCTCCATATTTGGTAAATAGGGATGCTTACAATTACATTACATTTATTTTTGGATGTTGTTCTTACCATTTAAACCCACATCATAGTGCAGCCATTTGCATATGCAAGGTAGCAGGGCACAGACAAGAACAACAGTCCTGGTTCGTGTGACTGCAGCCCAAGCAGTAGTCCAGAATCCAAGAGAAGAGACCTACTGTAGGAAATGGGTTTACACAGGTGCTATTACAGGGATCAGCTGAGGACAGCCCTCACCTGTGCGATGAGGTGTGCCAACGGCAGAGCTTCGACTCTGACACTCCTTCATTGTAATGCATGGGTTGCGGGTGTTTTTGCAAAACATTCCACAAAACTTCTGTCACTTGTTTAGAAATGACCACTGGCTTAGACCAGCCAAAATCCTTCTTGAGGAAATATTTGGCAAGGGCAGACCTTGTAGTTTCTTTGTCAGAAAACCATTGTTACTATCCAGTTACCCATAGTTTTGTCCTTATCTAAAAAGCGAAAGGGCATCACAGCAATGGAATAATCTGGCCAAAATAAAAAATCCTTTATGAGCGAGACAGTGTGGAGGGGCTGCCCTTCACCGAGTAATAAAAAAGTAATAGAGTAACCTCACTTCCGGGAATCTCAACAGGCTACCTATTTTATAAAAATGGGCTGTAATCCAGGAGACCGAACATCTGCTCTTATTCGTGGCGCCGAAACAAAAGCGTAGCGCCACACAGCATTCATCAGGCATATAGTTTGCCGGCGATACATATCGCCCCAGAATCAACAGGTGATTTTCCCAAACAGGGGTCTATTCCCTTATGTCTAAACTCCGTGTTCACGCAACTTTAACAAAACACCGCCGCGAATTATTTCGTATCTTCTATGCAAAGTTGAACAGAAATCACACCAACAGACAATCCTAAAAACACTACTTAATACGTTCGCTTAAGCATGTTTGCATTGGATGTTAAATCGATTGGATAATTTGCCTGTTCTGAGTAAACAAGAAGAATGGGTAAGGTACTTTAATTTAATGTCACTCAGGTGACAGCCTTACCTGGGAAACTTTTCCTTAAGCATCCTCATACACTGGCGTGTGGGTCGGAGTTTCTCCATAAACCTCGCTATCTCATTGTATTCAGCTCGAGACAGCTTCATGGTTTCACGCCTTAAAAATAGTAAGTACCGCACTGGTAAACAGTTCTGTGTTTGACTTAACCTCAGAGGTACTGTCTTTCACCAGCTACCTGATACATGTATAATGCTTTCATTTGCCATTTGCTAAAATGTATTGTGATTGTTTTTTTAATGACTGATCACCCCACTATCCGTTTCAAAGTAACACACTAGAAAAACCACTCGTTATCAAAGGCTTTACGGGTTCGCTTCTTCCGACATGCATTTAAAAATATTTAATCCTAGTTTTCAAATAACTTATGGTCCTTTCATTAAATGTGGACAGGCTAATTTAAAGGCGCTTAAAATGTAGTTCTAGCTAACGTCTGCAATCCGTTTCTCTCTTCCTGTTTACGCAGGGCACCCGTTTCCAAAAGTAAAGCGGTGAACAGGCTGTCAAGCCTAAATTCACGGTTTACTTTTCGCACCTAAAAAAACGGAAAAACGTACCAAGCTACAATTCTACAGTTTCGCACAAAATCTATACTTGCACGTATGACCTCTGCAAAAAGAAAAAAAACGTTTTTGCTTCCCGCGGTCAAGTTGAATCACCCTTTGGCAACAACAACGCTGCAGCTCATTGGGTAGAGCCTGGAAGAGTCAGTATTGTGAAAATACATAGGAGAAGCGGTCCTGCTGGTGAAACAGGCGACTGGCGTACTGTAGTCTGTAGTAAAGAAGTGCAAGCGACATTCTCGCTTGGGTAGAAATTTCTGTCAGTAGTAGCTGTTGTGATTTTGGTATTTTTAAATCTTCTTTTTTTCTCACAAGGATTAGTGAGAAACGCATATTTGATTTTTTTTTTTTAATTCAGTTGAGTTGGAAATGCAAGGCTCGGAAAACAAATTTGAACTTTGCTCCTGATGTGAACAATCAGAACGCAGTTAACAACGTGTATTTGCAATATAGATAATATATAATATCGGTGATTTATGGGTTGATAGATTAATATTAAAATATTTGTTTTTCCAAAATTTGATGTTGTATAGCAGGTGTATATTGTGTATAGCACTCCAGGATTATTACAGTTCATGCGTTTGAGGAAGTCTTGAGTTATATCTCTGGACTTGTACTGTAGTTCAAAGCTACATACAGTATACTTTGTGTCGCTCTAATTGCCTACGCTTTCCTCTTGCATACTTCCTCTCGTTTTAAAATCTTTGATGCATTCGTGTGGTTAAAACTAGATTATGATTTAAATCAGAGGTTCCCTATCGTGATTGTGGAGGCCCACGGTACATGCCTGCTGCTTTTCACCCCAGCTGAGCTTAATTTAAGTCTTAATGGAGCTAATTTCCTTGATTGAAACAGTTGCAAGTTTTTTTTTTCCTGCTCAAACACTTGGAATTGTAAAAAATGCAATTGTTAAAAGGCAAGCTCCAACATGTTGAAAGCTGAAAACAGCCAAATAGTTAAAATCAGTCCTATTATTATTGAGTTTATTAAAGGTTTCCAGGACAAGGAGTGGGAATAATATTGGGTTGGTACCTCTGAATTGTAAATCTCATCCAGAAACGAGCAGCACAACAGTAAAGAACTGTAAAAATCCAAGCAGTCAGTGTTCTAGAAGACATGTCCACTTCTGCATAACACCAAGATCATACACAATTATGTAAGGATATTAAAGTATGAATGCATGAAAATAATTGTACAAGTCACTAATTCTTTGGTTTTTTTTGTATGTTTCTTCAGGCAAAACATCATTCCTTCAAAGAAAGTTGCTTTTTTTGTGTGCTCCAAGGTGTATGAATTGAACACTGATACCAAGCAATGCAGTGAATTTCAAAGGGCATGAAGGATTATGTGTAAATTGCAGACAGTTTGTCGCTTTGACTACCTTTCATTCACTGTGCAAAACTAAAAATTACTGTGCTTTTGTAAAATTGTGGGTTAAATTCCAAAGTGAAAACAATTCCATTCTTAATGACATTACAGACCAGTTTTAAAAGACTGGCAAAGATCATGGTACTGGGGGAATCCGAGGGGAGGGTTTAATTGGGATTTTGCCTTTGCAAACAACAGGTGTGAGTAAGTAGACTAATCACATCAGGGATAGTTATAGTACTGTTGTATTCTCAGGTGAAAGTTCTGAAATGCACACACTTGGGAATAAGATATCCTCTAGCACAACAATACCTATAAAAGGGCTATAATTGGGTACCCACAAACTGTTGCATATTTTACTGATATTAATCTTAAGTAACATCTTAGAGAAGTCTAATTTTCCCTTACCACGTTTCATGACATCAGCACAATATTAATGAAATACACCCACAAAATAAAACTTGAAATCAATGGCTTATTATCAAATGTCTCTAATTTGTTAATCAGATATTCTGGGAGCGACTGTTTTTAACTGATATCTAATCATTTTGAGTGCGTAGCTATTCAGAAACCTAAAATTGCCTTGGCAAACAATGTTTAAGGCAACTTTAAACATTCAGCAGTTCTTTAAAATCCTTTAAATAAACTGGAGTATGATTATTTTAATGCTCACAAGACCTGGCTTCCTTATTACATTAGTAGCAAATATGAAAGTAATGTATATAGTATGTTTGGTAAAACAGAAAAGTAGACCTAGGTTGACTGTAGAGCATTGTTTGTGTTTTTAAGACATACAGTATACAGATCATACTGGTTGAAATGATGTGCAAATGTTGTTCATATTTTCATCATTGATATTTCTTTTCGGACATTCATTACTGTATCCCAGAATCCCACGCTTAGCCCACAGGCTACAGGCTGCCCCCAACTGCCTTGAGAAATACATAAAGATACATGAAAAAAAATTACCTATAATCCATTTAAATTATTGTTCTACAGTGCACAACTCTTATTCTACCATGTACAGTATAACGCACTAGGTTTCTGACAAACAAAAACACTCATTTAAGTATTTTTACGAGACCTGTTTTTCACTGCCTTCTAAACCAATTTTTACCACAAATATGCCATTTTATTTTGGCAAAAATGTTAACAATAACATTCTGGACTCATTAAACTGCATTTTAATTGACTTTCTTTTATATTAGTTTAAACTTGTGTGTTTTTTACACCGGGAGTGCAATTGTCATTTACTGCTACTGTACAGTACACCTGTTTATATCGTTAAAAACACCTCAGAGAAACACTTAAACTGTTACTGGTGTGAAAGACCTTCAGGAGGCATGGAGTCCTATTGCACTAGGTTCAAAACACTCCACATATATTATGCTTGTTTTTTAAACAGATGTGCAGGTGCATGAGCCTCCACGGGGATTTGTGATTGAATCTGTTTAAAAATTAAGCCTCTGGTGTATTTTAGAATTTTGTTAGATATCATACCTTTCATAACAGTCTTCTGAAGTCCTCAATGGGTAACAGTATTTCTAGTGTTAGATGTTGCCTTCCATGGCTGTGGCCTCCTTTACTCATGTTAAAACAAATGCTTTGTCCTGAACCTAATTTAGCAGTTATCACCAATAAAAGGGGTTAATGAATATAAGTAATAATGTCTTCTTCATTCTAGAATGTTTACTTCTTTATTGCATTTTTACATATACAGTATTTCACACCTGACTCATAAATCGCAATAAACACAATGTAGTTAGACAAATATCACTGCTGATGAACATACCCTGGAAGAAGCATACCCAGAGAATGAAATGTGATTGTTGGCAGTTGCCCCTATTTTTTGCATAGTCCTCTTGGTCCTCTTGCAGTCCACTTGCAGTCAAATGATCTGGAGATCATGAACTGAGGTAAAAGTAACTTGCCTTTTTAGAATTTACCGTAAAGTAGCACCTTTTAAATTTCTCCAGTCAGGCCGGTGCCTTGTGTTCCTCAGACACACAGAGAAGAGAACTGAGAAGTATTGGTATCCTACGTTTAGAGTTGTGTCTGATAAAGTGCGACAAGTAAAGAAAAAACTATACAAAACAATAATTTAATACAACATTTTAAACCAATCCTACCTTTGCTAAACACCTTACATTTTAGCATGTCATTCTATGTATGCCCTGGGCTAGAAGTCTTAAATATATTTTTGATGATAATACAACAGACAATGTTATTAAAACTTACGGAAGTAAGAGAGGTGAAGGTTAATGCATAATTGAATATGCCTGGAAGGACTTTTCAATGGTATAATCAAACAGTAAATTGTGTTTATGTCAATCTCAGTAAAGGGAAATAGTTCACTGAATTTAGGCAAAAAAAATCAGTAAAGTTTAACTGAGAAATATTTCTTTTACATTTGACTTATTTATCTTTACCCTTGATCACTCTTTCCTGTGTTGTTCTATGCATACAGTACGCTAGGTAGGTATAACACTACTTTGCAAACTTTAGTGAAATTCTTAAGGCTCCTTGTAACATGTAATTGTCGTTTATAATGAAGTGATAAAGTATGTGTTATTTTGTTAACACATCTTGGTCTGAATTACAAATTCTTTTGGGGAAGAAAATGTTTGAGATGCAGCTTGAACAGTGAAAACTCCACAGTATATGCATGAGGTCAGTGTCTTCTCTAATGGGGCAGCGTACTCAAGAATGACTTTGTTATAGTGTTGTATATTTTGTAAGTGCTTTTATACCAAATGTTAAAGTCCAAGAAGATCATAGAATTACAACAAGCATTTTATATATTTTTATTTCTTAATGAACAAGTCTATGGCATTAGAAATGAAACAAATATATAGAAATGGAAAATTAAAGACTGTTTACAAGTATGTGTCAATTAAAAAGAAATGAATATGTAATAAAAGGTCAGTATTTTTTTTTCTCAGACACTTTATAATACCATTTTGACATTTTCCAGATGAAATGAGGAAATGTTCCCAATTTGGAAATAGCTATATCACTGTCAAGGGAAATGGTAAATATTTGAATCTATACGTTCTTAAAGTTCACATTGTATTTATAAGGCCAAATTTAAATTGTGTCAAAATCTGATTGGGGAAAAAATATTTAAGTGTCAGAAAAGTTAACAAATATTTGTTATTTTTTAACAATCACAATGTTGTTTGCTTATTTTGCTGTCTGTAGTCAGTTAATCCATCCATGCACAATGCTGAAACCCTCTAAATGTAATGGGTTTATAAGTGTTGCCTCTTGGGTTGCACAGTGCTTTCCAGGCAGTCTGCAAACAGAACAGTGATACAGGGAGTGTTATTAACAAGCTGTGAATCTTGCACACAGTGGGAGATTAATTTACAGAAGGTTTTTTCCTGATATTCAAGAAAAGGTATACTGATCCTTTCTGTAATGCACCCAACATGCTACAGATACCAAAGAAGGACCTACACATTGTAAAATGTATTCAATTTGTTTATTAATGTAATAAAGGCAAGAGGGAATAATCAATTGCCACTCTGCTGCATTAACAATAGAGTCAGAAAACCAATAAAAAAACTGTTATCAAAATTACCAACTACTGTCAAAGGATGTTATTGTTTTCTTAAGCGTTTGTAGACTGGGGCGATGTTTAAATTTAATTTTAACAGCTGGACCTTTAAGAACAATTTTATTTTTTACATTTAGGGTTTATTGAATGCTGTTCTTGGTGAATATGGATTTCAAAGCT